CTTCTAAAAAGTCGACGGCATTTCGAATTGTGTTGTTGACTTTGTTGACGCGGACAAAGTCAAGGAAAACCTTCTGAAATATTCCAATATTGGACCTTGGGACATTATAATAGTTCCGAATTCGAATCTCTTTAGAAAGAAGGATCTTTTGTTTCACGGTAGCCTGCCTCCAGTCCCCTTACGAAACTTTCGTATATTGGGTAAGCCATACCACTTTACATGTTTCTAGCGATTTTCACATTGGGCATCATTCAAATGATACAAGTCCTTGGGATAAGAATCTACAACGCCACTAGAACGCCCTTTTGACGATCCACTTACTCCGACAGCATCTAGGGTTCCTCGAACAATTGATTATCGCACACCGGGTAAATCCTTACCCTTCCCCCTCTTACTAAGACTACAGAATGTTCTTGTTGAATTATGGCCAATACCAGGTATATAAGCAGTGATTTTCAAAATTTTCCCAGAGGTTAATCGTACTCTGGCAACTTTACGTAAGGCAGAGTTTGGTTTTTTTGGGGGGTGATAGTGGAAAAGTTTGACAGATAATCACCCGTTACTTGCCACTATCTACAAGAACCGTACAATTGAGATTTTTCACTCAATAACGGCTCCTTCGTTCAATCTTTCGAAGGTACATTGGCATCCTTTTCCTCCTTCGAGGAAGTGTGCTCCCTTCATCCACTCCTTTCCCAAAGAGTAAAAACTAGGACAAATTTCAGTCACTTTTTCATGTTACGTTTTCATGTTCCAATTGAACACTTTCCATTTTTGATTATTCTCAAAAGAGAAGATTTTTTTTACCAAACATCTGCGGATCCAATCACACGATCTTATAATAAGAACAAGAGATCTTTCTCGATCAATCCCTTTGCCCCTCATTCTTCGAGAATCAGAAAGATCCTTTTCAAGTTTGAATTTGTTCATTTGGAATCTGGGTTCTTCTACTTCATTTTTATTTACTTATTTATTATTTTTATTATTTTTTTCCCCTCTTTTTTTGATTTCTTTTTTTTTTTTATTTTATTCCCTTCCATCATTCCCTAAGTCCCATAGGTTTGATCCTATAGAATCTGACCCATTTTCTCATTGAGCGAGGGGTACGAAATAAATCAGATTGATTTTTCGATCAAAAGCACTATGTGAAATCTTCGGTTTTTCCTCTTTCTCTATCCCTATCCCATAGGTACAGCATTTGAATCAATAGAGAACCTTTTCCTCCTATATGAATCAATATTATTACATTCCAATTCCTATTCCAATTTCCTCCCCCGACCACCTCCCAAGGAAAAAATCCCGAATTGGATCCCAAATTACGGGTTGAGTATGAGCTTTATCCATGCGGTTATGCCACTCTTCGAATAGGAATCCATTTTTCTTGAAAGATCCTGGCTTTTCGTCGCTTTGGTGGGTCTACCGAGACTCCTTTCGATGACCTATGTTTGTGTTGAAGGGATATCTATATGATCGATCGATTGCGTTAAAGCACCGCGGTAGCAACGGAACCGGGGAAAAAGTATTACAAAAAGACAGTTCTTTACTTATTCTAATTAGTATTTTCTATTAAGTTTCGATTAGTATTTAGTTAGCCGATCCCGGCTCAGTGAGTCTTTTCTTCCGTGAATGAACTTGTTGGCACCAGTCCTACATCCTACATTTTAGTTTGTCTCTGTGGACCGAAGGAGAAAGGGGCTCAGCGAGGAAAAGGATTGTACCATGAGAGAAGCAAGAGGTCAACTCTTTCAAAATATACAACATGGATTCTGGCCAATGCAATGTTAGTTGGACTCTCATGTCGATCCGAATTGAATCATCCTTATCACGGGAGGTAAATCTTTGCCTGCTAGCAAGAGGATAGCAAGTTACAAAATTTTCTGTTATGAAACCATGTTGCTATGGCTCGAATCCGTTAGTCAATTCCTATTTCCGATAGGAGCAGTTGACAAATTGATCCAATTTTTCCCATTATTGTCGTATCCGTAATAGTGCCCCGAAAAGAAGGGCCCGACTCCAAGTTGTTCAAAGAATAGTTGGCGTTGAGTTTGACCTTTATGCCTTTAATGGATTAGTCAGTTCTCTTTCTCGATGGGGTAAAGGGGGAGGATATAACTCAGCGCGTTAGAGTGTCACCTTGACGTGGTGGAAGTCATTCAGTTCGAAGCTGATTATCCCTAAACCCAATGTGAGTTTTCTTAATTTTTTTTTGGGACTTGTTCCCCCGCCGTCGTGGATCGAATGCGAGTAGATAAGAGGCTCGTTAGGATTTGACCCGAGGGGTAGGGGGCTATATATATTTCTTGGAGCGAACTCTAAGCGAATATGAAGCGCATGGATACAAGTTATGCCTTGAAATGAAAGACAATCCCGAATCAGCTTTGTCTACGAACAAACAAGCTAAAAGTAATGCAACTAAGAATCTCCATTAATTGAGACTCGCTAAATGCACTTTTAATCGTTATAAAAAATTATTTCAAGAGCTTCTTATTAATTTTTGCAA